TGGATGAAACGCAAGGGTGGAATGAAGGGGGCTCGAGGGGGCAATGGATGAAACACAAGGGGGGAATGAAGGGGGCTCGAGGGGGCAATGGATGAAACACAAGGGGGGAATGAAGGGGGCTCGAGGGGGCAATGGATGAAACTCAAGGGGGGAATGAAGGGGGCTCGAGGGGATGGATGAAACACAAGGAGGGAATGAAGTGGGCTCGAGGGGGCAATGGATGAAAAACAGAAGGGGGATGGACTCACATGGAAGAGCCTGGGTAGTAGCTCGTCCTATCTGGTGCGGGGCTGTTGATGTGACGTGAGCGAGTTCGGCACAGCACCCTGGCAGCCCGTGTCGGGAGTGACTGCTGGGCTCTTCGCCGGTGGAGGAGTACGGACCATGTCGACGTCGGCTGCTCCGAGGGAGGGAGGGGGGCACAAACCTGACGGACCGGGGAGCCCCGAAGAATGGCCTTTGACGCGGAAGTTGCGGGTGTGAGGGGCTCAACTTGTACCAGGGGCCCTCAGTTAACCATCAAAAACCAAGTTTTTCCTAGCAAAGACATGGTTTTTGTATGTGAAAACATGTGTGTTTCATGGTTTTGAGGGCCCCTGGTACAATCTATTGTACTCATGCAAACTCCTAGATAATGTCTACCCTTTGTTTGAAGAAGTTTGAGAATCCAAGTGGGAGGGGATTTGATGAACCCAGATTCATTCGTTCGACCGAAATAGAGAGGCAAGACCACGACACCAGCGAACGCCGGTCAGTCACCGGTCCAGCGGATCGAAAGTCGTCCAATCGCAGGTATTGGAGTCCTGGCTGTTCGTCGAACCCCCCGTCCCGAAACAAACCCCAGGCTGGGCTGGGGTACTCAAAGCTTCCACTCACTGGATGGGACGACTCCCGTGGATCATGACGACGAAATGGTTGTTCCTCCGGACGTGCTTTCTTCGCCGAACATGCGCGTGTTCACGCGCGGTGCGGCGGTTCGCGGCTGAGGGGCTGGTGGCCACGCCATAGTCGAAGGCCGTGAAGGCGGGGCTGAAGCCCAAGATTGGAGCTTTGGCCTTAAAGACCGTAGGGCTCCAGTCGTACCTCCTCAGGTGTGTAGACTGGTCTTAGACCCTAAACTAACCTCAAACACCCTAGGGAGACTTCTGACCCACATGATTGGACTCTGGAAAATCATGGTAGACGTGGATGGCACCAGCGGTATAGATCGAGGGCATCCCTTTCGGGGCCACTTTCCAGTTTCATGATCACTCCAGGGAGTCTATATCTGAAGACTCCCGGGAGTGCAACAGAAGAGGCAGGTGGCCCCACAGGGTCTCTTTAGCCTTCGACATGCCAGATGAGACCAATCAACATGCATGCATCAACAATATAGGTGGCCCCATGCACATTTTCTTTAACACACGTTCTGTTTCTGTGTTTCTGTGTTAGAGATCCACATAGATCCACTGAAAACACCTCGAATATCAGGTACTCTTAGAATCAAGGACCCTCAGTTCGGTGAAGGTTTGGTTCGGGTCCAAGGGTCCCCTGCGTTCTGGGTCCAAACCCTCCAGTTCGGTGGTCGGCTCCAATGATTCTTAGGGTCAACCAACACCGACCGCCCCCAGTCCCCCGCTCCTCCGCCCGATCCCCCGCATCGTCAACCACACGTCTGGGGGCGTCGATGCTGTTGGGATTGCGCACGGAGACCCGGTAGCGCCTCGCCACGCGGGCCCAAACACTCCATGTATATGACCTACTTGGAGTCCGTGTCCCGATAGACTTTTCGTGCCGAACCTCAGGTCCGGTGAGCAGGTTCGACACTAGTAGGTGCCAGGAGGGTCCAAGTAGGTTCTAAGGAGGTATGTGGATCCTAGGTACTCCCTAGGGTATATAGGGCCGATGGGATCTTGGAGGGGTTCTTCCAAGCGGTGGAAATGGAGCAAGATCATATTGTTTTGGGAGGTGTCTCTATTTGACACATTTATACCAGGACCTTCCAAAAGAGCGGTCTATGTATAGCCTCTTAGAGGTGAGTCTTGGTCTCCCAAAAACCCTCGAAGCAAGGGGTTCGGTCCTGGAATGGGAATCTGCCGCGCGTACCCTTCCCTACACCTCCAGTCGTACCTCCGAAACGGTTTGGTCTTCGACCCGAACCTGGCACCCGGGCGGCCGTCCCACCGGACCGAAACGCTTCGGTACGACATGGAGTCATGGAGGTGGTATAGGGCTTCAAAAGAGGGGCTTCACGACGGTTCGCATCGTACCTTCGTTTCGGTGCTCCCTGGCGGTCGTCGTGCTGTCGGCTCCGCACGGCTCCGCACGACTGGAGGGAAAGCCGCGTTCTTTGGGGTCCGTCTGCTCGGATCCCGGAGGAGCAACTGCCATCGAGCTAAAACCTATTGTTTTGTTTCGGGTGCGGATCCTTAAGGGAAGAAACAAGGTCTGAAGGTCCCCAAAACTGATGGAGCCCCGTTCGTAGCGTCCGATCGCTCCGTTCGTCGCGATGCCCGTTGGTCCTAGTAGCATCTTGTTCCTATAGTATAAGGCCAGGAGCCCCTAGTAGCGTCCTTGTTATAATTATTGGTAGTAAGGCCAGGAGCTATGTTCGCAGCGTCCTTGCTCCGTTCGTAGCGATGCCAGGAGCCCCTAGTATAGCTAATATAGCCACGTAAGCCATTCAAGAAGAGGAAAGGATGAAAACGTAAGGAATTGTTTCTTCTTCAAGTTCGTGACCAAACTTTGGATTCCCTGAAATGGATTCCCTTTTTAGAGGCCCAAACTCGTGACCGACCCAGTTCGAGGGACTCAAGTTCGCTCACGAACGGTCACGAACTATAGGTGCACTTCCTGATACGAACCAGGGAATCATCGTGGAAGTGGATGGCATCGCTTGCTTGTCACATATTCATCCAAAATCAGGGCCATTCCATTCACCTAACCATGTTAATTCCAGGGAGTGTAGACCCCATGGATTTCAGGGTCCTATGTATTTCTCCGTGGGATGGAGAATGCGCTTCTGCAGTTGGAACATGGTAGAGGTAGGATGCTTCAGCGTGAAGGCTGGCGTATAGCTTGATGGATTGATTGATTTCCTTAAGAAACCTGACAAAATATAAAATATTCTCCAGAAGGGGACTTACCCATAGGAAACGACACCTTTAGGCGAAACCAGGTATTCATTGTGTTGTCAGTTCTCCTTGATGGACCCCGAAATTACACCCCAAACATCCTCAAACTGGACCCTGAGAATTGACCGGTTGTTTCGACCCTTGTCCCAATACCAACCCAATGATTTTGGGGGTCCGTCCATGACGGTCCATGTGGTCTGGCTGCACAACTCCAGAACACAAGTTGCCCCTGCTACTAGTAGCTTCGTGCTACTAGTACCAGCACCTTCCAAAGGGTGCCTAGAAAGAACCTCTTAAGCCTAGTCACCAGAAGTAGCCTCTTAATTTTCATGTATATGTTCTTATGGATCTGAGGGGTTCGGAGCTAGATCACCCTTTGTTACTACTATAGCGATGCCCCTGCTACTAGTAGCGATGTCCCTGTTGGGGCTTGGCTTGTTGCCCATGGCCCTCATCTGACACGGGCGAGGATGGCGACGACACGTCATGGACGACGAGTCGTGGAAGGGGTCTGCACGATCGGATGGTCATGAAATCCGCAGACCAAATACCAGGCCCCCGCCATTTGGGGTGGTTTTTGTTGGATACCCCGAATCACCTCTGGTCGGAGCTGTAATTAGACACACCCCAAACAGGGTTCCCTGGTTATATATATGTCGTGGTGCCTTGCCATGTAACTTTAAAGCAGGATGACTCCGGGAGTACAAGTTTGTTGATCCTCATCTCGAAGAAAATGGGCTCCAACACGACGAGAGCGAGTGCTCACACTCCGACCATCTTGAAACCTGAGTGGGAAAGACTCTATTCCCAGACGCGACCCTGGACCCTCATATGGAGAGGTCGGACCCTCATATGGAGGGGTCTGGGGTCTCAAATTCCTAGGGTTTTGAGGTACCAAGAGCTGTGAACGTTTATAAATATATTCAGCCATATCCACTATGTCCACCCCTCATCGATCCCAATCATGTCATGGGATGCTGGGATTGCAACCTTCACACACAGTCACCTTCAAATCACCGTAACTGCTGAGCTACGCGATGGAGTCAATGCCATACTTCCTGCGCAGAACGACGACGGGAAGGAATGACTACAAAGCACCCGGTGATACCAAAAGCGAAGGCCAGGCAGGGTACTCACACGGCATGCCCCAGGGTACTCACGGGCGACTGGCACACACTTGGAGGATAGGATCATCATGGATCATCCAAAGAAATCAATGATTCTTTGTCATGATAACACCCCCTGAATTCATGGATTGGCAAGAAGCTTGCACGATCGTCCACATTCATGTTGCTGGTTCCTTGGTGTGCGGCCTCTCTCCACCATTGCCATTCTGAGTCCAAGTGACGCAAACGGTCCATCAGCAGCGTGTATCAATCCCTACACCTCAAAGTACCTCCTCAGAAGGTGTTTAGACCCTCCAAACCCACCCCAAACACCTTCAGAAGGTACTTGGAGGTCTAGGGAACGTGCCAAGGATCACCCTGCTCTCGAGTCAAGTTGTATTGAACCTCCTGCTGATCCCCTTCCCGGTACAGAACTTGACCCGATCACAGAACCCAGCACATGCGCAAAGATACGAAACACCCTCCCAAAAAGATCCCTTCTGAGAAGGCACTTGGACCATATACTCGCCCTGGAATTAAGATGGAAGTGGACAACCACCTGTTTCTAGTGGATTTCATGGGTCTTCCTTACGGGGCCATGCTCCACGTAACCATGTTACTTCCAGGGAGTGTAGTGTCCAATCACCTCAGAAGGTATGTGGATTCTCATGAAAACCACCAGATTTTTGTTGCTGTCGCGGACATCCGGGCGCTTCCGCACCATCCCCGTCACCGAAGCTCAGGTTCGGTACGAAAACGGATCCCTCGGGCTTGTCTGCCTACATTGACCCCACTGCCATCACTCCTGGCCTTTTCTCTCCAAAGACGTCACTCCCGTCTACGGGTCGCGTCGATGGGTTTCGTTTCAACGGAGTCCTTTCAGTGCGCTGAGGATCACCTTGAGCATGCTCCACGACAATCTCCTGGAGAAAGGCGGAACTCCCCAGCAGGGCGACTGGTCGCCGATCCGGACAGCAAGTCGACCAACATGAAAAGCATGTTGGACTCCCACTATAACCCGTGCCAGGGGATTCACCCAGTTCAACAATATGAAAAAACAAACACATCCGAATCCGAACATCATCACGCTGCAGCAGATTCGCATGGAACCTGGAAACCATCACCAGATTAGCTTGTGCTTTTGACATCGTCTTTCCAAGGTTCTGGTCCAAGCTCCATTTTGCTCCAATGTGAAGCTTGGAGGTGTGCAGGAAGGCAAAACCAAGCATTTTGCTCCATCGTCTTCACGCCTCCAACCGCCGTCTCGGCGGTTCTCCCGGCTAGAGACATCGAGCAGCGTAGCGACGGCCCGTGGCATCCGCAGCAGCGATGCGGAAACGACCGACCGGGGGCGAATCCGGTCCTGATGCAAGTAGCGCAGAACGCCTTGAATATCCTGAGGGGACCAGGAACCAAAGGGACCAGGAACAGAAGGGAGACCGGAACTGTGCGAGGTGTTCAGTTCTTTGAGGGACGCCCCAGTTGCAGCGACTCCGCAGGGGGTGTCTTTCGCGGTGCAGAGGCGACCGAGATGCGAGAAGACGGACGTGGAACAGTGGAAGGATGCGCCGTTTTGTTCGTCAAGTCGTGTACCAACCAAACAACCCCATCCAGGTTGACATCGATGATTGCTGTCCGAAACGAGTTTTCTGGGCAGGTGGGGCGCCCCAGGTCCGGCTTCTCAGGTGACTCGTGTGCTTTCTTTCACCTCAAAACGGTTTGCTGTCGAACCTGGAAAAAGGCTTCCAGGAATGGGGACTGACCCATAATCCCATAGGGAAAAAATCAGCAAGCAATACCAGCAGGGGAATCAAGGCACTTCGTCTTTATCCCTCCAGATCTGGTTCTAGAATCACGAGTCAAGCCCTGACTGGACATCCCACTTGATTGTGAGTCCCAGTTGGAAGACTGGCTGTTCTGGAAGGTCAACAACATATTTGAAATCTTTTCCAACCACTGGAGACACGTGACGTGGAGACAAAAGAAAAAACATTGCAAACGGAACATAGCGCAGACAAGGCTCAGCTAAATTGTTGTTGGTCATATTTCTGGTTTCCTTGCCTGCCATCGCACTGGTCGCACATCGCCCACATCGCGGCTGGTCGAAACAACAAACAGCAGCTGTACGTCTTGACCTCCATAGTTGGACGGTTGCGTCGACTCAAAAACCAGAGGGTCACAGCAACTTGCTATTCCGCAAGGAAGCGGACGAAATGGCACTTTAAGACATTTTAAGACTAAAACATAAATGCTTCTCTACTCCACCAAGCCATGCCGTGATTTCACATGCACCTAGTTAGTGACCTTTTGCGGTCTACTTGAGCCTTAAAAGGTCACTTGGGAACCCTCTACCACGGTCATGTCCTGAAGAAGCTGGTATGTCCTGAGCCCGGTCCATGATCCGACCTGAGCTCACAGGATTCTTCGCCGCGCGGAACATGTCCACCACCTCAGGGGAGGATCTCCAACTGCTCAGGGGGGGGGGGGACATGGCGGGGCAGCAAAATGCGCCATGTTTGACATCTCAAATCCGAATCAACATGAATCAACTTCCATTTTTTGTGTCATTCAACATCATCAAAATCGCTTTTCTTCGTGAACCACTGTCAGCTCGTAGGTGATGTAGCTGGATAGGATTGGATCATACCTTATAGCAGCCTTAGCACGAATCATATCGAATCATCTACTTGGGGCAAAGTCTGTCCTTTAGTGCCCTCCCTTTGTGCCCTGCCTGCACATCTGTAGCAGCACATAGTGCCATCAATATCCACAGTCTTCTAAACATCGTTGGCCTTAGCATCCGAGAGAGTAGCGGCGCATACTCTGGTGCAACTGTGCCAAGGCCTGGGCTGAAACACATCTCCAAGAAGCTTAGCAGGCATTCAGAATTGGCGACAACGTGAGGATATACATCCTGGAAGATTAAAAAGGAACCGGAAAACCGCTGAGTTGTAGAGGAATATATAGTCTTGGTCAACTTTCAGGTTCCATGTGGGTCTTTTCCCAGTGCAAATCAAGAGATCCCGGCCTATTCTGATCACTGGCAGCTCGCGCTCTCTCTTCATCGTACACCAATGAACCTCCCTCAATCCCGGATCCACAATCCACAATCCCCAAGTGAAACCTGCCAGCTCCGCTCCACTTCCAGTCCACGCAGCAAGTAACGAAGCGGAACACCCGGCGGCACGGAACACCACCGGCTTGGTCCAGTCAGCTGCAGGTCACGAGTGAACCCCGTGCGGGCACGGCCCGGGGCAGCCCATGCGGCGTCAGACCCTCGAGCTACGCTGGACGTCACAGAAACAGGTTCTGGACGTCACCAACAGAGGTTAAGTGACCTGAACTAGGACCCTGCAGGGGTACCTATAGGATAGTCGAACTAGGGTTCTTCAACCTCTGCTGGCACTAAGCAGTGTGGGGCTTCGAACCTTCTTCCAAGCCATGGCCTTTACCCCCAAAAATCACAAAACACTCCTGCAGTTCCATGTCGGGATGCAGTATCCATGGAGGTCGTCCGCATGCCCCGGTCACATCCACTCACTGGATCCTGCATGGGACGAGCCATACCATCCAGGCCCTCCATGTGACTCCTGGCTACTTTCAAACCGCGCTGCCCTCCACCATGCTGCTCCTGCTCCCCCCACCTCCAACCTATACATCTTCCCACTCCCAAAGCTGCAACATCCCGCGTCGACCGGATAAAGGGGGCACCCCATCGGAGGAGGGCACGTTCCTGAGAAGCGCGGCCAGACGCGCCCGATTGGCCTGGGTCTACAGGACCCGTCATGCGGGGTACCTATATCGATAGGCTCCCAAAAGCAGACCAATTGAGACGACTTAAGACTAAGCACACCAATTGAGGGCAACTTCAGTCGATGAAATGAGATGCGGCATTATGCTGCATTCGACGCCCGTCACCTCCGTTCGCCACGACGAAAGCTGAGTTTGTTAAGTGATCCAGTCGTACCTTCTCAGAAGGTGTTTGGGGTGGGTGCCAGGAGGGTCCAAGTGCCTTCTGAGAAGGTACGACTGGATCCCTAGGGTAAGAGAGTTCCGTTATTTTTGTTTTGACCTGGTCGGGTTTGAGTCGAGCTCTACGGTCTAAGGCTCCTGTCCCACCTCCTGCAGGTTGACCTCCTAATACTAAATGGCCCGTGAATAATACTAAATCTTAATGGGGGGTTTATTAATACTAATGCTGGCCCGTGAATCATGGGGGGGTTTATTCATAGGAGGTGGACATTAGTTCAACCCCCCGAACCATGCTAACCCACCGGCCAGGAGCCGGTAGGCCAGGAGCCCTAAGGTGAGTGAAGTTCGATCTCGGAAGAGCTTCCACCAAGGTCACCGTGGTCCACCAGGTAGGGGTCCGTCGGTCCGCCATCGACCAACGAGCGATTCCTGCATCACTTGGAGTTGCTGTCCTGGTGCATGACTTGGAAAACAAACCCGTTTGGCCTCCAGTCGTGCCTTCTGAGGTTCGGTGGGACTGGGGTGGGTGCCAGGAGGGTCTAAACCGTCGAAACACCTTCTGAGGAGGTACTTGGAGGTGTAGGGAAAGTAAAACCATGCAAAATTGCATCGTCTACGAGCTGCTTCCGTTCGGGGTTACCTTGCTGAAAAAGGTCGCCAGACAGGACACCCAAAAAGGAAGCGCTAGGTAATTATATGTCCCAGGAACTCAGGAACTCAGGAACTTGGAGATGGACCACCCCAAGATCTGGCATTCTTCTGCCACCTGATCTGCAACACCCAACCCATGACCTCGGACCGGACCGCTCCGGGCCGGGTTCGGAGGTCGTTCCAATGCCCATCGAACATCAGGCGCTTTGGTGGTCCTGAAGCTCCTCACAACTCTGAGGCTCCCCACAGCTCCTCGGAGGGGGGCGACCTCGGAACACATGCACTCATCACCCGCTAGGGATCCAAGTACCTTCTCAACAGGTGATTGGAGACACCGCTATGTAGGTTTGGAGGGTCCAATCACCTGCTCAGAAGGTACTTGGATCCCTAGGGACCCAAACCCTGAGCATGTGGGGCGGGGTGGGGACGTCCCCCTGGATCCGATCAGATCCATGGGCGCAGGGGCAGTGCATGGCCGTGCCCTGCGGATGAAACCAACACCTTGCCCCGATCACAGGCAGCCCCCGATCAAAGGGGTCCATACTCCTATCCTACCTTGCTCCTAGTAGTCAGTATAAGGCCAGAGCCCCGTTCGTAGCGTCCTGGACCAAGCATCTGGTGTATGGATGTGCATGGTGTTTTCCCCGCTTTCTCACGATGCTTCGCCGGTCTCCCGGCTCCGCGCAGCAGGGTGTGGGAGTGGCTATGGCGGGGAGGGGAGGGCAGGTGGGTGCCGGTTCCAGTGCCCGAAGAAACAACATCCACTCAGTGAGGAGTCCGGCTCCTGGACTTTCTTTGTTGACCCCTTTGGAACGGAGGCATTTTGGCCACACTTTCGGCCAGGTTTCGTCGCCATTCCAACATCAACAGAAGCAGCAATATTGAAGGTCACCATCTTAGCTTCAAAGGGCACTCTGTTATTCAACTTGTTGGTACCATCTTACTGCTTCGTTTCCCGGAGCCAAAGCATCAATCCTTTAACCCAGTAAAACCTGGGTCTTTAACATCAAGTACAGTGACTTGTGTACGACCACGTCTAGGAGCAATGAGGTCATTGACCTGGAACGGCACAACAAAGACTAACACAAAGACTAGTCATCACATGCACCCCAAGCTTCAGGGAGGGAGTGCATGCTGGTCATCAACTTCCCTCTGGGGTCCGGAACGGCATGGGCTGCACCAAGTGGCGCCCCCACCTCTGGCAGGGTGAATGGAGAACACATTGGAGATGAACCACCCCAGGGTTTTAAGACTTTTGGGGTGAGGATTCTATTGAGTTATATATACCAGTACCTTAGCCCTCCGCCATTTCACATAAAGACCAGCCCCCCCCCCAAAAAAAGAGCACACATGTTCCATATAGTTTGAAGATCTATAAGAGGGGAATGTGGTTGCAATTGAGCATGTATCCCAGAAGCTTTTGGGAGACCAAGTCCAAACAAAATGAACGGAACTAAGAACATGACCTGGAAAACCTGAAAAACGCACGTCTGTTTCTTTCTGGGTAGGGGTCTTTCCCGCCATCACCCGACAGGCATCCAGAAGCTGAATGAGGTGCCATTAATTCATCAAAGTTTCAACATGAAAAACACCATTATTATATGAGAGGGCTTGGGATTTCTGGCATGTCCTGAGGACGTGGATGTGTCTCAACAACTCCCCATCCTTGGCTGTAGCCTCCGCCTCCACGCTTGCACGCTCCCCCCTTCACTAATCGGAACCACCCCCACCAAAGGCCCTCACGCAAATCAACAAGTCACGCTTAAACTGAGTCAACTCCAAGTGGTGGTCCTCTGTCAGTCTGTCCTCTTTCGCTGGGATCCAGGTACCATGCTGCTCAGTCAACACACAACACATCTCTCCATCGCTTCTCTCTCTCCTGCCATCGAGGCACTGTATCGCCTGCATGCGCTGCCTTTCCAAGTCCTGCCAACGCCGTTCTGAGCGGGACGAAAAAAAGAACGCTGCATGGCAGAACAAATCAGAGTGATTTGCCCGACCCAATATAATATCTGTGACCCCCGTAATTACTTTGAAGATATTACTTTCAAGAGGGTTACAGAATTGTTGCAGATGTTTAGAGATGTTACTTTTATGCACTCTTAATTGATCAATAAATGAAAGTTGCTTTTGTTTGGAGCGGGCTTCGGAGCTCAGCCCGTACTATGGACAGGGCGAAGGATGGTGTTTCAAGAGCCCCGTCCTCTTGTTCTCTCTCTCACCATTGACGGTGTTCTGAGTTGACCTTACTCAAATGGTCGATCCTCCCCAGAATGAGTCCGTTTTGGGTCCAACATGTTCCCCTAGGGATCCAAGTACCTTCTCAGAAGGTGTTTGGGGTGGGTTTGGAGGGCCCAAGTGCCTTCTGAGAAGGTACGACTGGATCCCTAGGGACAGTCAGGCGTCCGACACCACCGGTGCCCCGGCCGGTCCCCGGTGCCTGACGGTGTCGAGCCAGCTCGGCGGCCTCACCCCGTCCGAGGACGGCGACCGGACGGACCGTGCCATCTCGGCCACCCCACCCCACCCCTGGCTGAAGCGAGTGTTTCGGGGGCGGAGGCGAAGTAGGGTGGTCTAGACACCCCTGTGGTGAACCCGCTCCAAGAATCCGCCCCAAATCTGTGGTACTGGATCCACATTACCTTCTTTCGGTGATGTGTTCGTGCATTTCGGTTTGGAAGAGTCGTACCGAACCTGAGAAAATCCTTAAGGGTCCCTATTACTATAATAATAGTGGATGGTCCATGGTGTTCAAATCAGCATACTTTGATATACCTGGAGTCTCAATTTGGACTCCTAACACCCGTTGGTCCCTCAAAAGCTAGGGATGGGTTCGACCCAAAAACCCCTTATGAGTGTCAATGAGCGTGTTGTTGTTGTTGTTGTTGTTGTTGTTGTCGTTGTTGTTGTTGTTGTTGTTGTTTATTTTTTATTTGATGGGGGTCATGTCCCACCAACGAACTCGGGTACGTTGGACCGGCGCTGGTGACAGTGCTAGGACCCTCCAGCGGTTAAACATGTCCGCCCTTCTTGTCCCAAACACGACATGTCGGGACGACAATCGGACTGCTGAGAAAAGGCCAGGGGTGGTGCCAGGGGGATCAATGTGGGCATGGTAGTCCCATGGAGTGTGTGGGTGAAAACGGCCTGCGGGTACTCCCC